TGTTTTACACTCTTGAGAATGTAAAGTCGTTTTTTCTTAAAAATAACTTAATTTTTCTTTAACCAGAAAAATGTTTTTTGTTAACTTATTTTTATGAACACCCCAAACAATGAAGAATATTTTTCTGTAAATTATTCACTTAAAAAACATGAGCCTAAATAATTATTTTTTGTGTTTTTGAGACCACAACAATTTTTGGATGGTAGTGTAATGGTAGTATTAAGGGTGGCCATATTACGGTTTCGGAAACCGGAACCGTCGGTTTGAATCGTAACCGGAATCGGTCCGAACCGAAACTAAAATCGGAGATTTTCGGTTCGGCTCCGGTTCCAGATTTCTGGAACCGAAATCGGCCGTTTCAGAAAATCGGTCGGAATCGGATTGGAACCGCTGGTTCTCCGGCCGGTTAGAACCGGCGGTTCTAACTGTTAGAAACTGTCAGTTTTGTTTTTTTTTTGTTGTTTTTTTTTTTTTTAATTATTTTTAAACTTTTTAACAAAAAATAAATTCAAATTGAAAATTTTTTTTTTAAAAAATAAGTTATGTTCAAAGTCTTTAAAAAAGTAAATTTAATGTAAGTAATTTTAATTTTTTAGGTGTTATTTTTTTTACAAATAGACTTTCACGAATTTATTAAATTTTGAAAAATCGGTCTTCAAATAATTTTAAAATTTAAAATTTAAAATATATTATCGCTCGAAAAACCGTGATCGGGAAACCCGTCGGTTTCGTTATCCGTACCGAAACCTGGAACCGAATACTTTTCGGTCCGGTTTCCGGATTCCTAGATTTGTTTAAAAACCGAGTACACCTGCGGTTCCGGAACCCGTGGCCACCCCTAGGTAGATATATATAATATAATATATAGAATGAGGAAGACAGCTAAGAAGCGGTTCCGGAACCGTGGCCACCCCTAGGTAGTATATATATATATATATATATATAAAGAGGAAGACAGCTAAGAAGGTAATTTGTCTGGTCTCATACATAAATTGATAACCTATTATAAGAAAAATTTTATAGCAACTTTAATTTTAATTAAAACCACTATTTCTTAATTTGTATGGAAATAAAAACAAATCCGTAATTATTTTATACCATTTTCAATTATCAGAAAGATATTGAATTAATACGATATTTTATATATCTTTTGATATAAATTTGCAAAAAATGATTTTCAAATACTTTAAACATTTGATAAGTATTCAATATATATAATTTCATAAATTTGAGAGATTTAATAAGTTAAGGTAAGTGGGAGATATATTATCTATTATACAATGTTGTATAAAATTCATAATTAATGAATTAAATTAGAAAAAAAAAAAGAAAAGAAAAATAGATAAATCTTTCCCTATCTGTCATTAAATAGTGATAATTAATACAAATCTTTTCTACAATTAAGAGGAGTAGGTTTCATTATCTAATTAAAAGCTTAATTTAATTAAGCTTTTAAAATGATTTGATACCAGCAAAAAAATCATAAAGTCACCTTCATTCATATCATATTTTTTTTGTCTTGTCTGGTTTTCTGTATGATATTATTGTGCTAACAAGTTTTTGCATGGAAATATCTCGAAAAGAAAAGAAGAAAGATAGAGTTCATCAAAGCATGAAAGTTGAATATGTTGAATTCCAAGAATATATCTTTTTTAAAAGAATTATGAATGATATTAATTAATTTTACAATTATTTGGAATATTATGATAATAAAAAAAATAACATAAGAAAAAATATATTCCTTCCTTCTCATTTTGTTTGTATAGTTTAATAAAATACATATATTAAGAATTTAGTAAACAAAAATTATTTTTTGTCATTTTTTCACTCTTAACTCGTTAAGATATTAATAAAAGTTCTTCATTTAATGAATAATTATAAAAGTTATTATGGAAAAAATAATTGTTTACCTATCTAAATTTAGAAACCTTACAAACGTTTTGAGAAATTAAAAAAGGAATAACAAAGAAATAAAATAGAACGGAGAGAGTATTAATTCTTCTCAAATTCTAAATTACTTCGGTTAATGAAATTTTCTTTTTTTCGTTACCACAAATTTCTCTGTATTCTTTTTTTCTATGAAATAGATGAACATGGCATTAATATCGAAAATTAATAAAAAATATTATTAATGTATTTATTTTGAGGCGGATGTCAAAATATTGAAGAAACCGTTTTATTAGCATTGGACAAGGTTTAGTGAAAGATCAGGGTATTTCATCTTTATTAGTTAACTTTTTTTTTTATTTATTTATTGGAAGGCACGGTAGACGGAAATAACACTGCATCCCTTCAACTTGACTCATAAAATTAGTAGTCGAAATAATTCAAATTCGAAACATTTCACTCTTTATATAAGTGAGAAACCAACCAAACAATTTGCTTATTATATATATCAATTATTTTTAATATTTTATGTTTCATGTAAGTTTGGCTGCTTTGAGTTTTTATCTATTTATATAGCATGGTTCTAATTATTGAGCAAATGAAAAATATAATTTAACTATATTTAATTTCATAAAAAAAAAATTCTATCTTCCAACCTATGATTATTTTCTTAAAAATCTTTATTTCAAAAAAAAAATTTAGAAAAGATTTTTGAATTCCAATAACCAAAAGATTTCGTCAATATTTAAAAATTACTTCTTCTGTTCCACTTTAATAGCAATATTTGCTATTTTCACAATGATTAAGAAAATGATTAAAATTCATTGATTTTCTAAAAATACATAATAGAATTTCTAAATGGCCATTTTTAAAAGTAAATAAGAAAATAAACGACACTTAATAAATATGGATAAAATTAAAAAAAAATAATTAATATGGTCTCAAAATCCCAAACGAGCATTTAAAATGAAATAAGGTGAATATGTCAATTTATTGGTATTAAAGTGTATTTTACAATTTGCATTGATGAGCCCCTTTAATGAGTATACACAATTAAATTATTTCTCTTGGACTGGACCAATTAAGAGGTCCCTAAGGAGGCCAAAAGCCCAGTTGACCACAACCCATTGGCCTTGAACGAGGGCATAGTTTTGTGTATACGCGTTAAGACGTACAAGGCAAGAAGACGGGGGAAACTTTTCCGGCCATAAAGGGAACTTTTCCCAGTCTTAAAATCAAAAGTAAGAAAAGAAAGCACAAAAGGTTTGGAAAACTGACTTTGAATCAAGAAACACAATCATTGCAGCAAAAAGGAATACCATATAACAGCCAATTGGACAAGAACAACTTAGTTCCAAGAAAAGCGGGGAAGAAGGTCTAATGAATGTTGAGCTTTGAGCCTCTTAACAAGCTTTCCATTTCTACTAAACTCTTTTTCTTTCAAATGGAACATATATAAAAAATTAACTCTCTCTTATGTTTTCTTTCTAGTACTTGTGGTCAAGAGTATTCTCAAGCTAACTTACAATGTACTGAAATTACAATTTTAAAGATGTATTCTCTCACATTGAATTAGTGCATTCAATAATATTATTATTTCTAGAGCCATTAATATAGTTTCATAGGTCCAAATTCAATCCATTAATAACAATACTATGGATTATCAAAATTTATTATTTTTATGTAATTTTTCATATTTAAACTCTGTACGACGAATTAGTTATTTTAGTAGCTGTTAACTGTTTTAATAGTTATCAGCGATGAGAGGATCTAAAATTTAAATATGAGAGAGGCAAATACTTCCATAAATATAAAAGAGGGCTAAGTGGTTAAGATGTTTTGCATTTTCTTGATAAACAACTTCGCTCAATATGGAATGTGTTTATTTAGTATTTTTTTTTTTTAAAAGAGAGAGGGGAGGGATATTTTACAATCCGTTCTCTTAAACTTTAAATACTAGTATTTTGACTAAATTAAAATGCTAAACGTCATATGAAAAACTGTTACGAATAGAAACTTAAATGACAAATTTTAAAACATATTGTTTTTTAAAAAAATATTTTCCAAAGCAAGTTATTTTCTGGAAAAAAAAAAAAAAAAAAAAAAAAAAAAAAAAAAAAAAAAAAAAAGAAGAATGACACTGAGGAAATCAAACATCATGGTACTGGAATTGCTTTTGAGGTTAAGTTAATTGGTTTTTATTTGGTTTCTAAGACACGCTATGTGCTTCTTTCTTTTTCTCATTTATTCTTAATCATTGATGACCTGTGGTTGGTGGCCTAACCCACGCTTCTCAAATATTAATTTAGAGAAAGCTTTATTCTAATTTTGTAATTCTTACTTCTATACTATAAGATACTCTTAAGTTTCAGAATAAAAACTTCAGGGTTTAAGTTAAATTTTTTTTTTTTTTTTTAAAAAAGGGATCATTTTATTGTTAAACCAAATTATTAAATTGTTAAATTTGATATTAATGAAGTGGACTGGTAAGAAGTAATTCAAGCAGTAATACGTATTTGAGTGGAGCGGATGATCTATAAATCTCAAACAATGAAATTAGCATCGTACACAGAAGGTACACTGATACTCGTAAATAAAATAAAATGAGTTAAAAAAAATACATATTATAATTAACCGCAACTATAAACAACAGTTGCAATTAGATTACCTAATGAACATTTTTTTTTTTTTTTTAAATAAGGAGCAATTGGCGGATTTGGTACATCAAAGTGATAATGGGAAGTAAAATACAAAAAAAGGAAAAATAGCTTATCCTACATACAAATCCTTTCAGTTCCTATTATCTGGAAACGGGGAATCTATTCACAGACCACAATTATATAACAACAATTTTGATACCTAAAATTCTACTACCTTTTTTTTTTTTTTTTTTTTTTTTTTTTTTTTTTTTTTTTTTTTTTTTTTTTTTTTTTTTTTTTTTGTGGGTTTTCAAATAAATTCTTTCATATTTATATAATAATTTTCCTTTTCTTTTTTTTTTTTTTTTTTGATCTTCATAACTCCATAGATAATCAAGCGTCAACTTGTCCAACAGACTTGATGGAGCTTCTTGATCTCAAATGACCTAATGATCATTTCAGGGTTTTGATTAGTTTTTTTTTTTTTTTTTTTTGATCTTCAATAACTCCATAGATAATCAAGGTCAACTTGTCCAACAGAACTTGATGGAGCTTCTTGATCCTCAAATGACCTATGAATCATTTCAGGGTTGATTACAACAGAAGACATATCAGGACTATGTCCAGTATCCTGTGAAATTTCCATTTTCGAATTATGCCTCATGTTTGGTCCTTGGTTTTCAAGTAGCATCTTCAAGATTGATTGTTCTTGCATCAAAACAGAATCTGGGTAATGCAAATTTGCAAAGTTTGGTGAAATCTGTGAAAAGTAGGAGTAGTTAGGAACAGAGGATTTTGAAAATAGAGCTGAAACAGGGGATATATTTGGAGGAGATGAAGAAGCCAAGATAGAAGAAGAATTTTTGTTGAAGTTATCAGCAAAAGTGTATTCTCGGGGTTTTTGGACCTCCATGAATTTGGAGAAGCAGGTCACGTGAGATGTATTGCCTCCATTATTCCCGGTCTCACTTTGATGTGGTGAAGAAGAATCCATTAATGGAGGCAATAGAGTTGGCCTTAATTCGTTTCCATAAGAGCTTAACCTCACCAACCCTGGAATATGAGTTTTCTTTCCTCCAGAATTCTTCTGGAAAACTCTACAAATAACCCATTCATTCTGCAAAGCAAAAAATCATCAATATTTAATAGTATAATCAAGAAAACACAACAGAAGAAGAGGAAACAGAGCAAGAATTAGACGACCTTAGCTGTTTTAGGAATATTATAAACTGAAGATTTTCCTTCTAATCTATACTCATGCATCACCCAATTGGTTTTTGATCCTTTAGGAGCCCTCCCTTTATAAAAAACCAAAGTCTTCTTCATTCCAACAAGGGTTTTACCCTTATAAATTTCTCTGTCTTTGCCTGTGGCTTTCCAATAACCAGCATCAGTGGCTCTGTTTGTTCTCAAACCAGTTGGGTATTTTCTGTCTCTAACACAGAAAAAGTACCATTCTTTTTCACCCATTTTGACTCTCCCTTCATTAAAGAAAAACAAACGTCATAAGTTAGGATATAATCTAGCAAAAATCGAACTTGGTTAAGGAAAACTGAGAAGAAACAAGGCAATAATGGAATCAGAGGGAAAACAGAGCAACAATGGCATAAAGAAACTTACAAGGCAAATCCCAAGGCTCACACTTGTTTAAATCAACTTCTCCTATGGCTCTAGCAGAAAAACAGTTATCAATAACTTTTTGAGATAGATAATGAGTTATTAGCTCTTCATCAGTAGGGTGAAATCGAAATCCCGGAGGCAATTCCATCTCCTCATCATCTCTACTAACCATGGAATTGTTTTCCATACCTTCCAAATTTTTGATCAAACCAAATACTTTCTTGCTATTAACAACTTCACCACAAGAAATTGTCCAAAACCCCAAATGGGCTCTAAAAGCTTTAATCTTTGAAAGCGACAAAAACAAGAAAACCAAATATCTTAATATAGAATTATCAAGAAAATGAGTAAGCTGATTAGAAGTGTAAGATTTGAAGAGAAAAACAAAGAGAAGCCTATTTTAAATAAACAAAAACAGAAAGGTGGTGCTAACTGTTTAGAGAAAAAAAAATGTGTTGAGCAATAGAACTGTATAAATAGTGGTTTTTGGAGAGCAAAGAAGCGTGGTTTTTAAGGTAACTTCAATGGGTGGTTTCAAGAATTCATTTTTCTCTGTCTTTATCTATCTTTAAATAAATGCGTTTTAATGTTTTATTTTCTCTTTCCCTCTTCAATTTGACCAGGAACATATCACCTTCCATGCTTTGCATGTACTTGAGACATATAGCAACTCCTTTTGTTTTGTTCAAAGTCTTTTAAGTTAGTTGTTTTCTGTTTAACCAAAGCTTTCTATTTGTATAATATTATAAAAATACAACAAAAAGGATATAAAGGTGGTGAAATTGAACTTATCTTATAGTTTTTGTTTTGATGTTATAATTATTCTCAACTAGCACACAATGTAACAAAAACCCATGTCCTATCTATCAAAATCAAGTTAGTGGATATGCCTATACTACCCTCACTAGAAGCTTTTGTAAGTTTTAATATAATTTTATTGTTGTTAAATATAATAATTATAGATCGAGCCACACAAATAACTTTTTTCTAAAAAACATAAAAAAGTTTATATGCAATAACTTTTCTAAAGTCTATAAATATGAATGCGTTTAATATGAAAACACAAACAAGAATTTTATGTTTGAATGATTTTTTGATGGTAAGTTTTGATTAGATTAGGGTTTGATGTTTTGGTGGCCGTCTTCATCTAAGCACATCCTCAAATGCATGCATTGGCTTTACAAAAATATTGACATTTTTAGTTCTTCTCTAGTCCTACATGGAACTATTCCAAGTTCCCATTGATAGACCAATATCTCTCCTTTTATGTCAAATCCTAGCCACAATTATCCACATTAAGGACACTCCTTATTGGACCTACATTTATGACTAAATTAAGTGCTTTTGTGTCTTTATCGTTCTCTCAGACTTACCAAATTGATGTCATCATCTGTAGTCAAGAAGACTCGAACTTGAGACCTGTCCGAAGTTAATTAGCGCGATAAATCTAGATTTGTACTGAATAGACCTATAAAGGGGGCAAAATTCTCCCTCTCGAGTGTTTAAAAAGAGTATGTATCCAGGGTTCGAAGTTGAGACCTCTAGTTAAAGGGAAAAAAATCCCTGCCATCCTATCTCAGCTTTCAAATATTGAAATTAATCTTATTTTATTTAAATTTTGATAATATTATTATAAAACTAAGCAGGCAAGTAAGAATGGGCTTTTTACTTGTATGAAGAGGAAGAAGTGCAAAAGTTATTGCATTCTTACCAAATCCTATAGCTATCATGGACTTGAAGATTGATTGATACTATATTTAATATAGCTTTAAGTATTATTTATGCCATTCAAATTATAGGTGGACTTAACCTATCTTATCTACATCTAGCCTTTAAAATAACAAAGAAAGATCTGTTTTACTTTACTGTTTAGGGTCAATAATTCACATGGAAAATAGTATTAATAATAAATATTATATTATTATTTTCCCCAAATGCAATTGTCAATTGACAAATTAAAAATTAACCCAACAAAATGAAACTCATTTGTCCACATATGATATTAATTAAATATTAACCAAATCATTAATCAAACCAAAATATATAAAAATTATTAGATAGAGTGAAAAATGAAAATTTTTTTATACATAGGATGTCTAATGGATCGGAATAACGAAAATTATAAGGAGACCAATCAAAACACACCTGATTGATGAAAATGAAATTATTAATTTTCTAAAATTTTAGTAATTTTACAATTATATATTATGGTATAAGTACACAAAAATAGTTAGATTAGACCAAAATAATTAATGTTAAAAATATTGTGAAGCACAGGCTTGTCGGCTAGAATAGTATATTAGTAGAATTTGGAAATGTTTAATTTGAAACCAATGAAAAATGGTTCAAAACAACTAATCAAATACAAGGTTTAATTATTATCAAATTAACAACTAATTAATAATGATTAGTGTCCTAAAGACGTGTACAAAAGAAGCACGTTATGGAGTTTTTTTAGCAACTGTGGCTTTTTCTAAAAGACAAAACACTGATTGTTCTATTATCTTGTTTAAGGTTAAGGATTGAACTTGTCTCGTAGGTTCCTCCTTCTAGAGATTTCCTTAGTTACTATCATATCATGTCCACTTAAAAGATATTTTTCAATCATTTACTGGCTAATGCTTATCACCTAACTATTTTTTTTTTAAAGTGAAGTGAAGTGAGGTCCTACCTAGCAATTTGTCATTGTCTTTAAAAAGACTAGATTACTTATTTGTATATCTGGCATTAAGTTACCTGACTCAGGTCTATGAATTTATTTATGATCAAATTAATGAAAATATAAATTTTATTAAAATGAAAATATTTATTATCATAGCTCAAATCCAGGGGTGTAATCGATGTATTCGATTCAAAACAAATTTTGTAATGGACATTATCTGAAAACTAAATCCATTAGTTTATATAATCAAACAGAATTCAATTAAATTTTAATTTTATTTAATTTAATTTTTTAATTAAGAAATCATTTTAGAATTTAGTTTATTCATTTTTTTATTTTTATATAATGAAAATTAAACTGAATCTTAAAAAATATTGTTTCTTCTCTATTAAAATTAAAAACTAATCATGAACTTAAAAAAAAAAAAATCAAATCGAATTGAATAGATTGTGGTGGTTCAATTTGAATAATTCCCTACTCCCAATTATTTCCTCTTGTGAATTGGGTGAGGGTAACAACGTCAATTTAATGGGAAAAGAAGATTAAGAGGTAATTAGTTTGCTATAATATCACAATTAGAATTTTATGTTCCAAATTAAAGGTTTCAATGGCCTCTCCTTTTTCGAAATTTAAAAGTTTTATTTTCCTTTTCACATGCGGTCAACGGTAAGGTTTTACCGTGGTCACTTTTTACCTTTTTTTTTTAAATAATCTAATTGTACCTTTTGATACATATTATCTTTTTTATTTCTTTTTTGTTAAATAATCTAGTTGCACCTTTTGATATATATCTGAATTTTTGTTATTAAAGAATTTAAATTTATTATTATAAATATATCAGAATGTTTATGATATATATATTATATTCGATCAATTTGATCATATATTTCAAATTAAAATATATATTTTGATTTTTTAAATAAATAATTTATAATTACACTTTTTATAAAAAATATAAAAATATATTTCTATATACACCTTCCTATTAATAAATTTTCAATTTCTTCTAAAAAAAAGGCTTTAATGGCTAAAGTCACTCTCCTTTCCTTTTCGGGAAGCCAGTAAATAATGCAGATAAGACGCGTGGCAGCGTTTCCTGTTTTGAAGAATTTCAATCTTTTTGGCAACTTCGTTGATCCAATTGCTAAGGTTGAACAACCCGGTCAACGATAATATCTGCCACGTCAGCCACGAGAATCTTTTCGGATGGAATAGACAGTGCCGTCGCTGCCGACGGAGATGCAACCAAGCTACTCCACATGGAGAGCAGTGATTGGATAGAATAAAAGGTCCTACCGAACCTAACTTTTCAAGTGGATTGACTAATTTAGCCCAATTGCTGAGCTGGCATATGTGGGCCCCTGCTTCCCACGCAGCGACATGAGGCCATAATGGGGACAGACACGTGGTTATATGTGATTGGGTAGAAAGTATAATAAAATTTTAAAGTTAGGCTACCGGATTATATACACTATAGAAAGAAATTAATTAATCAAATCAAAATTCCGTCAAGTTGAAGTTAAAACTTAAAAATGCGTGACTTGAAAACAGTGTGGCTTTGACGTGCTTAATCTGAGAAGATCTTGATTGAAAGTAACTCCAATTTGCTCAGGATGAACGTCAAAAGAATTAGAACAGTAACGGTCACCAATTCTATCTATGTCTAATCTACACTGCACGTGTGATGCAATTTCAACCTATCTGATTGAGACGATAGAGTGGCAACCAGTCCAACAGCTCCCAGAGTTAGTTCCAACTCTTTTTTCTTTTAAAATCTTTAATAATTAAGTTGATTTTCCACTAAATAAAATCCGATTTATTTAAATTCCTAAATTATTTTTTTATAAATTCATGGCTTAACCTGTATGTAATTTATTATGCATATAAGATATAAGTATTTTATTTATAATAGGTTTAATACGTAAATTTAATTCTAAATTTTAACTGATTTATCCATAGTGAAAATATAAAGTTATAATGAGTTTTGTGTAAAATTTCGTGGACCATAAGAATAATCTTTGAAAATATATATTCAAATTTATCCATAGTATGAAAAGCTTCTCTATGTATGATATTGTCTTTGATAATTTTACTGTGCATAATTCTTTTTGCATATTTTGGCTGAACATGTGTTTGCATCTACTACGAGGGATTTGGATAAGCTGCATGAATTAGGCGCAGACTTCTTTTTAGCTTTTTGTGTTTGGTAGTTGAATTTACTGAGCCCTAAAAAAATACATCTATATTTGAGATTACTAATATTAGAACCCGCACGATGCATGGAGCAATATTAAATGATAAAATAATTTTTTTATAATTTCGATACAAACACAACACGAGAATTAAACGGTTGATATGAATACGACTCGTCAAACCCGCTTAATATCATAAATAAATTAAGTGAATCTGCTGACCTATATACAATCCACTTAATTTACTTATAATATTTTTAACTTGTTTAACTCAAATCGTACTTAAAAATACATTTTTACACGTAAAACGTATAAATTGTAACGTCCCATTTTTCTATTGAATCGAGTCGTTGCTTGGAGTCGAGTCGGGCTGCTCCAAAACCCGGTTCGAGCCATTAGAGTCTAATACCATTTTACAGCGTAAACGTATAAATTGGGTAAACGTCCCTAATTTTTCCTATTGAAATCGAGTCGTTGCTTGGAGTCGAGTCGGGCTGCTCAAAACCCGGTTCGAGCCATTAGAGTCTTAAGAGTGGGGCTAGAATGCAATAAGGAAAAGAAGGTGGACTTACTTGAAGGAAACCAAAAAGATCAAAGTATAAGGATAGGACTTGCTTGCAACGAAAGTATGAAAGTATGAGGTATTAGTGTACCATTTTGACACTTGAGGTACGCATTTGGTAATTTTCACAAGAAAACATCCGCATGATATTTTGGAGATGTACCGGTGAGTTCCATTTCAATTTCATTTCATTTCTTCATGCCTTATCTTCATCTTCTTCTCTACTTTTGCCCTTTCTCATGCTTTCCTTTCTCCATCACTTTTAATGGAGTGAAGATTTTAAATGGGATT